AACATCAGGCTGACAAAGATTTTTTTTATATTATGTAATTTTTCCTCCCACCCCTTTAACCCAATCTAAAGGGAAAAGACAGGTCACAAATGAGCCCAATTTAGGAAGTTTTACAGAGCCTTTTAGGGTCACCTGCAAGACAGACTTGGGATCACTGTAATTCCTGTATTAGTAGCTTGCTGGAGATCATTAGAGTGGAGCTGGCTGATGAGAATTCCTTTCTCTGCTGGCTCTGAGGAGCCAGGTAAAGGGCTTCAGAACACAGCTCAGAGGTGGTTTTCTCAGTCATTAGTATCTATTCCATCAGGGGTCTGCATTGCTCTATTTACCTGGTGCAATGACAAGGCTTGGGTGAACATCTCTGCTACTTTTGCCATCATGACCCCTTCTTATTGCCTCAAAGATACAGATTAGGAATAATCTGTTTCCTTCCTCTCACAGGGAAGGTAAGGCTTCCTTCCTCCTAGAAAAGCGTGGAAAATGGTGGGGAATTGAACCCAAAGACCACAGGGCCAAGGAGTCTCTGCTGATTCAAAAGCTTGCCTATTTTCTATGGACACAGAACCAGAGAAGCAGCCGTGTGCAGTTTTAGATGCTACTATACTGTTCTAATGCTCTTTTCAAAAACTTATTTTTGAGCAGGAAATAATCATAGAATCATAGAATCCTTTAGGTTGGAAGGGACCTCCAAGATCATCCAGTCCAACCCTTGAGCCATTAGGGCTCTAAAGTCCTCTGCTAAAACAGATCAGAATCTGTCAGGGTTGGAAGGGACCACAAGGATCCCCCAGTTCCAACCCCTCTGCCATGAGCAGGGACACCTCCCACTAGCTCAGGCTGCCCAGAGCCTCCTCCAGCCTGGCCTTAAAGACCCCCAGGGATGGGGCCTCAACCACCTCCCTGGGCAACCCATGATTGGGTAGGCTTCATTTGACTAAGGAAACCTGCATAGAAATAATATATTCCAGGGAATTTTATAGTTTGATATTTTCTTTAATCAGTATATTGTGCAGAGATTATCATGTGCTTAGTGCTTAGAGCCCTGAGACTTAAGGTATTTGGAATATTTAGGTATTTCTGTGTTTTACAGCTATCTGCAGAGTGTTTTCACCAGTCATCTCACAGCAAGAGAAGCAAAAGCTGTATGTGTTAGGCATTGCAGGGTGTGTCTGGGTATCTAAATGCATATATGCATTTGTGTGCATCTGTAAAATGCATCCTGTGTGCAGATATTGAACATATCCTCACTGGCATTATGCTGTGACTTGCATCACTTGGAGGCAAAGGTTCTGAATAAAGAATTCATCCAGTATAGAGTGGAATTCACTGAAGTTGCTGTGGGTTTTCAGAGCCACGGCTGCAGTCAGAATCTGGCCCAAGTAATTAACTTAGGAAGGATGGAAAGGGAAAGCAGCATGTGGAAGATGTAATTAATGGGAACATATAACAGTCAGCTCTCACATAATAAATTGGCAGCTATGCCTGAGGTAACTGCCTTTTATTTGTAAAATTCAGTTGGAATTTTTTTAGAAGTAACTGAACACTTTCTTCCATTTCCACATGGTCCCAGAGAACACAGTGCAGTACAAATACCAACAGGAATGCAATAAAATCATGGTGTCATTTTTTGGTGGTTTTTTTTTCAAGCTCAGGGCTACAATCTTATTTGAGGCAATGTCCAAAGGAAAGGAGGAATACATTTAGCTCAAGAAAAGACAAGTGGTAAAACATTTTAGTGGGGCTTTAATATGTAGTAATCTAAAAGGACAAGGCAGGAACAACCAGAATAAATAACAGTAAATGGCTAGATATCTATTTGCAGAACGGATTTAGTCATGTAATTCTCCTGACTTGAGTAAAAACCAGTTAAGATAAATGTTCTGAAATCCTTCCATTTTGAAGGCTTGAATTTTCCTTATCTGAAAGTTAACTGCAGTTTTTCCTGAATAGCAAGCATGACATCAGCTGTTCTTTAGAAATGCCACAGATGCTGGCAGATCTTCAAGAAAACTCATTCTACTAGTGTGAAGCTCTGGAAGGCTGCAGGATGACACAATGGCTCCCCACACCCAGCTGCTGACTCAGCCTCCTGGAAAAAACAGTGCTGTAGTTCTTCCCCTCCAAAAAATTTGACAGCTTGCAACTGGGATTTTCTGCTATGACCAAACATCCTGTGGCTACCTGGCATGGGCCATTCCCCTCTGCACACAGGTGGGGAGGTAGACTACCCACCACTGAAGTCCTTGGTTTGTCTGGGTTTTCTTTTGTTTTTAAGCAATGTTTGTTGTCATCCCTGATAGTGGGAAGGAGAAGGGGATTCCAAATCTATTCTACTGTAAACATGAGGGAGGATCTAGCCAGTTTTGTTTGTGAGGGAATGGGCATGTGCTCTGAGTAACAACCTAGCATTGGACTAGCTAAAAACTAGCTATTAAACTAGCATATAGTCCTTCTCACTATAAATCTGATTAGAAGCTTTACTGCTGTTTAAAATGGAACAGCCTGAAGACCAGGAAATATAGTTCTTGTAA